GGCCGGGGTACCCTCAGCCTCCTGCACACCTGCCAGAGCCGCCCCTTCTCCTTCAACCCCCTCTCTCCCAGGGCACCCCTTCTACACTCCAGCTGCTACCCTGCCCCATCCCATATTGCTGTGCTCTTGTTCCCGACCCCGGGCTCCGGCCCAACCCCAGGCGCTAAAGGAGAGAAAGCCGACTCACTACGGTGCTTTCTCCAGCCCCCTCTCCACTTCCATGAGCCCCGCGCTGCGCTGACGGCCGGGAGCTCCGCAGTCACTTCCTGCTTCCCTCCCGGCACACGTGTCCCTCCAGCCGCCAGGCCCCTCCTCGCCCGGCTGCCACTGGCAGATCCCGCCTGAAGGATAAATTCTCCGGTTCACAGCCTGCTGCCGGCTCCGGAACAGCCCGGGCGGGCAGAACAGAGGCCCCTGAGGCCCTGAGCATTCTGCCTCAAAGCACACGTGAGCCTTTGCTGTTTAGGTGAAGCCACAGGCACTGCAGGAAAGAGCATTTTGTGCAGTACCTGATACTGTTTGTGGGACTGCACTTCTGGCAGCCGTGACACCCTGCGGGAGCAACTGAGCAGCACCAGCATGCCCCTCTAGGGAAGAGGCCCTCAGACTATGTTGTTGTTGTAAGTCCCTGTGGTTGGGTGCTGTCCAGTGGATTCCAAGTCACACCCTGTGTGACAAAGCAGAACTGCCCTGTGGGTCTTCTACGCTGTAATTCTTTATGGGAGTAGACTGCCAAGTCTTTCTCTCACCAAGTTGTTGGGCAGGTTCGTACTACCAACCTTTCTGTTACCAGACAACCACTTAACCACAGCACCACCAGGGCTCCTTTCCTTAAACAGTAGGCATCAGAATCACCCAGAGGGGGGATAGATGGGTGTGTTATCGGACCAAACGCGGGTCCCTGCCTGGTGAGCAGTCAGGCCAAAATAGTTTACACACCAAAATTGAGAGGAGAGAAAATTATTCATTGCAAAGCAGCAGTGCAAGGAGGTAGAGGTAGTTTAGTACCCAGATCTAAACTCCCCAAGATGCCATCGAAACACAGTTTTTGTAGGTTTCAGGAGAGGGGGTTGTGTGTATTCACAAAAGGTTGAGGAATTTGGGGCATGAACGTGAAATGGGTGATGATAGCTAGCTAGCAATGAGTTACACTAGTTTCCTGTTATCAGCTGATAGGGGCTTGGGCAGAGGGGAGAGGGTGGCATTGCCCATGTCCTGGGCCACAGTTAATTTACAGTTGTTTCTAAAATACTTTTAGCAAGTCTATCATCTGCAGGAAGGAATGTTTTCCATTCAGTTCTTTAAGGAACTGAATACTCATCTGGGAAAATAGTTGGGGATAATTTAGTTTACTTATCTATTCCCATCCGGGTGCCAGGGTGGGGGAAATAGTTTTTACTTTATGCTTTCAGGTGGACAGGCTGAATGATCAGGTATGCCTAGGCAGGGGGCACTGTGCCCATGACCATGCATCAGATTAGCAGACAATGTTCCTACATGCCTATTTGTATGTGCTGTAAGAATGGCCGGCCATATAGTAAAGTTGACAAGGACCAAGGTTGTGGTGGCGTCTTGCCCACAGCCAGCTACCCTGAGGCAGTGAGTAGTTGGACCTGCGGGCTTGGGACCATAGTCTCAGGGAATATCAAGCTCAACTAGCATAACATGCCACCCAAAGACATTGTTCTACATTCTACTTTGGTGAGCAACAACTAGGGTCTTAAAAGCTTGCAAGCAGCCATCTAGATGCAATGATGGGTCTCTCCTCGACCAGAGCAAAGAATGAAGAAAACCAAAGATGCGTGGAAACAATTAGTCCAAGGGACTGGCAGACCATTGCTTTCCTCAGCCCATATGGTCATATAGAGACCAGAAGAACTAGATGGTGCCGGGCTACCACTTTCTACCACTCAGAGGGGGACCGGTGCAGGAGATCCTGGATAGAGTGGGAGAACAATATGGAACAAAATTCAAAATCATAGGGAAAAATAAAAAAGACCAGGTTCGCTGGTCAGATAGAGCCTGGTGAGACCCCTGAGACTATGGTCCCTAGCTACCCTTCAGGTCTGGAACTGAACTCACTCCTGAGCTTCCAGCCAAACAACAGACCGGCATATGGGGTGAACATTTACATCAATCAGGTAGATAAACTCCCCGGAGCGAAGTGATCATGGATCAACTGTGGGAGAACAGAAGGGCAGTGTGTACACAGAGAGACAGCTCCAGGGGCAGGAATGCATGGGAGGGAAGGACACAGGGAAGAGAGCTGTTACATTGTAGGGATTTTCAGTCAATGACATGAAACAAAATGTATATTAACTGTTGCATGGAAAATGAATTTGCTCTGTAAACTTTCACCCAAATCAAATACAAATTGAAAAAAAAAAAAAAAAAACAATAACCCAGAAGGCTTGTTAAAACATAAAGCTGCCAGTCCAGAACTGCTGGTTCTATAAGCCTGGAAGGGGCCAAGATTTCTCATTTATTGCTGATGATGCTGAGAGCCGGGGTGAAGCACCCAGCACTAGCACAGAGCCGGGACGATTAACGTCCACTGACCCTCTGGCCTTGCATCTATCCATCCATTCTTTCTTGAGCATGCACTCTGTGTCCAGCACGGTGCTGGGCCCCTGGTATCCCAAAGTAAACTGAACAGAGTGGCTTTGCCTCGCTCCTCTTTTCTCTCCTGCATGGCTTTTCTCTTACCAAGTCTGACCACTGACACATCCTGGGGACTGAGATAAGCCTCTGAGCCCCACGCAGCAGTTCCTTTCCTTGGCAAAGTGAAGATAACAAACCCATTGGAACTGGCCCTCAGATATGCTGATGGGATCACAGGAGGGACAGTAAGAGGCAGTTTACAGGATACTATGTAGCAATACAGAGGGTCAGTGAGAAACAGGAAGACCCTCAACGAGACACAGGGGCTGCAACAATGGGTTTAAACAGCAACGATTCTGAGGATGGAGCAGGATGGGGCAACATTTCCTTCTGTTATATTTGCTCGCTAAGAGTCAACCAACTTGATGGCACCTAACAACAACACAGCAATGGAAGTCTTTCTTTTTGTCCATTGTCAGGTGCCATTGAGTCAGTGCCAGCTCATAGCGACACTGCCCAGTCCCATTTTTATCTAGGGGATTTTTGATTACCTACCCCCCGCCCCCACCCACAAACCAGAATTCACCACCATCTCTCCATCTGCACTCTGGCCATCTTCCCTCAAACAGCTCCGCTCCCATGCTGCCCTGGCCATCTAGTTGATCTTCCTGCTTCCCCATTCTACCGCCACCTCCAACAGCCCACTCTCCTGACAGCAGCCCAAGAGATTTGTTAAAGATGTCCTGGTTCTGACTACACACCTCCAAGGGCTCCTTATTGCCCTCAGAGTAAAATCCAAACCCCTCCCAGCCTGTGATGACCAGACTGTCCGCTTCTGGACCACCTATGACCCCTCCGCATCGTCCTCACTCTGCAGGCTACTCTGCCCTCTCCTGGGGCCCCGAGTTTACTCCGGCCTCAGGGCCTTTGCACATGCTGCTGCCTCTGCCCAGAGTGCCTGTCTCCCGGTTTTCACTCAGCTGGCTCCTTCTTGTCAGTTGTGTCTCAGCTCAAACATCACCTCTTCAAAAGGGCTTCCTCCAAATGCCAGTCTAATGTACACCTTCCAGGTGCCTCTTTACTTTCTTCATGGTATTCCTTGATACCTGGAATTCTTCTTCATGTCGTTTTTCCCCAAATACAAGCTCTATGAGAGTAGTACCAGGTCTTCCTTTTGTACTACTATATCCTCTGGTGGCACTGTGGTTAAAGCACTGGGCTGCTAACCAAAAGGTCAGCAGTTCAAACCTACCAGCTACTCCACAGAAGAAAGATGAGGCAGTCTTCTTATGTAAAGATCACAGCCTTAGAAATGCTATAGGGCAGTTCTACTCTGTCCTATGGGTCACTATGGGTCAGAATTGACTCAACAGCAGTGGGTTTGGTTTTCTTGGTTTTATTCTCAGTATATGGCAGAGAGTAGACGTTCAGTTTCTAGAATGAAACACTGATCAGAAAGAAGTGTTATCTGTGGACTGTGCTTTACATATTGAATATATGCCTGAGAGCTGTAAGACTAATATAGTTTATTTACTTGATCAGGTATTCCAGCTACTTGTGTCGTTATTTTACAGAATCATCTAGAGGTTTACGACTGAGGCAAGAGGGAGGATGCTACTGGCCAACGATACCCTGAACATCCTGCAGTGTAACAAAGAAGTATCTAGCCCACTTCCAGTAAGATGGAGGAATAGGCAGACAGGTGACACAGACCCTCTTCAACAAAGAAAAGATAAATCAACTGAAGATAATCCTGGAGCCTTGAAAGGAACTATTCAGAAGTGGATTAGGCACCAACTAGTGGAAAAACCTGAACAAAAACAGTAAGTACAGAGATGGTCGGAGCTGTGGACTGGTGGCTACTCTGACGGGACCAACAGCCTGAATATTTCCAAGTTGTGTTGGGACATGAGAATTGACCTGAAGATCAGCCCTGGAGGATGACTGCACTG